GAATTTGGTAATGAGTTCTGGGGAGGACACTGGGAATAGGGAAATGAGGAGCACTTGGAGTGAAGAGTAAGTTTAGTCTCCATGGGGATGGAGAGGCAGATTCCCATGTAACTCCTGATTTCTGCTCCATTTTTGGTCAAGTTAACATTAAGGAAAAGACAAAGGCCTTAGGGGCTGATTTTGTTTGTTTGTTCATTTAAGCCTGCTTCCCAGGAAATCATTAATTGGTTCTCAGGGGCATCTCCACTCTTTGCAAGTGTTAATCCTCCCCTGTGATAAAGGGAAGGACATACAAGGAAAGGACAGACAAGTCTGGGAGCTAGAAAAAGAGATGGAGGGTGGAAGACAGAATGGCTTTGGGGAGTGGAGGATGATGAAGGTGACCTTTTTAGTCAATATCCTGCTTTACTTTGCTTTGCCCTTGAAAAGGGCAGGATCTGAAGAGAGGAGATGCCGACATTCAGCTGCCTTCAACAAGCCTCAGCATGTCTTCTACTTCTCAGAGTCTTGTCCTTAGAGAATAGGATAGCTATTTCAGGTAGGTTTCCTATGCTTGTATAACTACAGCTCAGTTCACAAACAAGATGAATATTTGGTCTTAACAGCCTTTTCTTCTCTAATTAGCAACGAATTTCAGTTAACTTAGCTATTCTAAAAGTCAAAAGCATTTCACGAAATCTCATTTTCTTCTGAATCCTAGTATTGCTATGTCTTTCACCAGATCTTAATGCTGGATTTTGGATTGCTAATGCCTCCTGCTGCATTGCAGCTTCTCTTCTTTCTGTCTCCTGGCTTAGAGATGGAGAGCAGGGCATAGCACTGTGTACCCACCTTCAGTTGGTATCTAAACAAGTAGGATGCATTAGAACACACTCCTGCCAATTTTTTCATGGTAGAAATTCATCCTCTTACTTTCCTCGTGGTATAACAAACATGAGGTTTATGGCAATCAATGCTGTTTTCTTAAAAGATCTTCCAGAAGTGTGTGTGTCTATATATATAACACACAGTTATATATATAGAAATGTAAACACATACTTGCTTTATTATTTGAAAAGCACATGTAAAGCATATGGACAGATTGAAAACCAAGCTGTATGACAATGTCCACATGTGGAGAGGAAATGTTTTGAGAACGATGAGGGCAATGAATGTACAAATGCGCTTTACCCAATTGATGTGTGTATGGATTGTGATAAGAGTTGTATGAGCCCCTAATAAAATGATTTAAAAAATTGAACATATGTTTAGCAGAGGTTCTGTAGCCCTGATATTGGAGGGGGTTACATGTCAGGCTGCTAACTGTAGGAACCACAGCTGGAAACCACCAGCCCCGCAAGAGGTGAATGATGAGGCGCTCTACTCCGGTAAAGAGTTGCAGTCGCAGACACCCACAGGCACAGTTTGAATCTCCCGGTGGGGTCGCTGTGAGTCAGAGCAATGTGGTGGCAGTGAGTCTTGTATTGGTTTTAGCAGCCATTGAAAACACATCTATGAAACTCATCACCTTCAAGTTGATTCTCTTATCCACTGAGCTTCACAGTCCCCCCTCCCTGTTCCACAGTCGTCCAACCCTCTGCTTTCTTTACCTTTTTCTCCATTTTGAGCAGCAGTGTTAGGAATGCGGTGTTACAAAAATCCAGAATGTCTCCTTTATGATAATGAGAACACAATTTTCCTCTCTGCCTTACTGCCACAATGTCAATGCTGACTTCCAGAGAGCCCCTGTGGGTTTCTGAGTCGGTAATTGTTTGTGGGAGTAGAGAGGTCAGTTTCCTCCCTCGGAGCTGCAGCTGTTTTCAAACTGCTGACCACAGGTAACCACTAAGCCATCAAGGAGCCTCAACTTTCATCTGGAAAAATGAAAAAATTGAAACAAAAATGAAACCAAACTTCCCATCTGGTTGTGGAGATGGAATGCAATTGTGTTTTCAAGCATTCATTGCTGGCAGCCTCTTTGAAAATGAACCCAAACAAACACATCTACTATTTATTTATCTACTCTTTTATCATCTGAGATGTAGTATTTAAGACAAAAACTTCCCAGGCAACACTCCTGTGGGGAGGACTGCATTCTGACCGAAGACAGATTTCATCTCACTGTCATCTCTAACTGTTTACTGGAGTAGAAAATCCAGTCTTTTTCCAGCGGAGCTGCTAGTGGTTCGAACTGCTGACCATGTGGCCATAGCCCATGGGTCAATCCAAACACTTTCTCAGAGGTTCTGGGGCGAAGAGGGTCACAGGAGGAATTGAAGCCAAACAGTCAAAAGACCCTTCTCCTGTTTGTGACATTTTAGCGTGGTCACAAGAGTGGGAAGTAAAGTCAGGGACTTGTGAAATCACAGGCTAGCAGGAGGATTTTGAATGAGGTCCGAGAAGTCCATCCGGAAGGCAGAAACACAAAGAAAGGGGAAGGGGCTCACTGGGACTTCAGTCCTGGGATGGGCGGACACCAGTAGAGGTCCCTGCCCAGGGTGGGTGGCAGGTAACACTGACCACCTCTAACACTGCCTCCAATCCCACTTTGAAGCACTGGGGAAGGTTGGTGGGGTAAGGGAGCTCAGTGTGTCAAACATCCAGAAATGTGTTGGGGGGAGAGGGTCTGATGAATGCTGAGTGATGTGGGGTCTGTGGTGGTGAATGGGGGACACCCATTCAAAGATGGGAGCATACACAGCTTTCCAAAACAGCTTGTTCTTTGGAACTGAATCAAGTCAGTAAGTGAGCTAGGGGATATATTTCAATCAGAGGACAGGAAATAATTTTTTTTTTTTTACCAGCTTAGGGTGCATGGCTTATTTGAGTCATATAAAATTGGATCGTGGGATCTGTCTTTGTTCTAAAGCAGTTTGATAACCTGAACTGCTTATCATATTTGCATTTCCCCCTGCTTCCATCCTTACTTAAGCCTTCGGCTATGGTCTCCCCTCGAGGACAACCAGCACTATGTAGAATCTGTTCAGTGGCATGGTGAAGATTCTGTAGAGCATCTGTTCTTTCCTTCTCAGACAGGGGTGGGTGCAATTTGTAGTGTGCAGGTTGGCACCCAGGGAGAGATGCCTTGGGCTGTTGTCTCTTTTGCACTTAGAGAACAATGGAATTTCCTTTCCTTCGAGTCCCCCTGAAATCACAACCATTCCCCTGAAATATCCAATTTTGTATTCCTCGAAATAGACTCCCCGGGTTGGTGAGAGGAGAGACCTGAAACAAATGTTTCTTCTGGATAGTCATTAAAGAGATGGGAATAAGCACACATCTGCTTCACCACAAAATAAAGATGTTTATGTTTGTTCTTAATGTGCTACCCTCTGTGCACTTCTTCCTGATTTCAAGTAGCTGCAGGGCTGCCAGAGGAAAGGAGGATTAGACTTTGTGAACTGCAAGTTGTAGGAGTGGGGCTTAGAAGAAGACACATCTTTGGTCATTATAGCAATACATTTCTAACAGTCAAAATGAACCAAGTGTGGCATTGATTGCCTGGGGGAAGTGGTGGACTATTTGTGGCTGGAAATTTTCCAGTCTGGTTTTGTATATCTATCTTTCCTTTTTGGGGAGAATGCTGTAGAAGGAATCCAAGCCCTAGATTGGGGTTAGGGCATGTAAAATTATCTAAAAGTTAAATGAAGTCCATACAATATTGCCCAATTCATGTCCTAAATAAGTACAGATGATGGCAGAATGCAAGGAATCTTTTTAAGGGCAGGAGTTTCAGGAGGGGAAAAACTTGTGGGATTTATGAACCAATGAAGTACAAAGTCCCCCACTGATCAATGAAAGATGG